TAGATTCACGCAGAAGCCAAAGGTATCACACCTAGCAGCAACGAAGAGGATACTAAGGTATGTGAAAGGAACTCTTGACTATGGCATTTTGTTTCCTACAACTGATAAAGGAAAAGAATGCAAGTTAATTGGATACACTAATTTAAGTTGGTGTAATGATGCTGAGAATCAAAAATCCACAGTAGGATATGTGTTTATACTAGGTGATGCACCGGTTGCTTAGTATTCGAGAAAAGAACCAGTAGTGGCCTTATCGTCGTGTGAAGTAGAGTACATATTTGTTTCTCTTTGTGTATATCAAGCAACATGGATGGTGAAATTGGTATAAGAGATTACAAGTAAAGATCATGGAGCAATTACCATGAAGATGGGCAACATGTCAGCCATCAACCTGGCGAAGAATCTGATAGCACATGGTCGAAGCAAGCACATCGAGATGAGGTTCTATTATCTTCGGGAGCAGGTAGCAGAAGGAATTATGAACTTGGAACACTACAGAACTGAGAATTAAATTGCAAACATCATGACGAATGGTATGCATGCCGAAGTGTTGAGAAGACTAAGAGCTATGATGAATATAGATAACTTAGACACAATGAATTAGGTGGTGTGCTAAATGTGTAATTTCTTGTGTCGAAGCAGGATGTTGCTCAATACAAGGTGTGTCGAAACACCCAGTATGTATGTGTGTCGAATTAGTTTAGATAATGTGTCGAAGTAGTTATTTCACGGGTTTGATTTAGGTCTAAAATAATTATTTTAGGCTTTTATAATATTGGGCTTTTTTGGCTTAGAGAGCAAGCTACCTAAAGCTATAAATAGAGGGAGTAACCCTAATTTTTGTAATTAATTCATTCATTCATAATATTTACAGTTGCAAGTGAATAAAGTTTTTCACAGTTTGTGGGAGAGAGTTACTGTGTAAAAATCCTAATCATTTTCTTGTTTAAAAATCTATTTTTATTTCATCGTTATTGTGTGAATGACAATAATCTTACTCATGAAGACTGATAAAAATTTGTCATGGATTTTAGTAAATTTCCAACCGCTATATCAACCAACAATTGCCACATATTAAAATAAATACAAATTGACATTTTTTTTTCAAAAATATAAAATGAAAACTAAAACTATTTAAAAATAAAATTAAGAGATTCATTTAGTAAATAGACAAAAAAAATTATAATTTTTTTATAGTTTCACACTTATGGTAAATACTTATATTTATTCCTAACAAGTTAAAGAATTTATTATATTGTGTAAAAGAATGATAATAGTATATCTTTGGTATAAATAAACCTATTTAGAGCTTACCTTTTTTTTGAGGAAAAAAAAGATTTTATTCCTATTATATTTATTCCAAATTTAAATTAAATCCTTAACTTTTCTAAATTCAACTTTTCAATATACTATTTCTGATCTTTATTATAATTTTTTCTTGTAAAACTTATTTAGTAATTAATATATCTAAACATTATATAAAAATAAAATATATAAATCATTTAATAAAAAATAGAAAATAAATATTCACAATATAGAGATCCAGACAAAAGTAAGTGGAAATAGTTAGGTAGAAGCACTTAAAATATATGAATATATATCAACAAAACCATTATGGAAATAACGTAGAAGTTCATGATTCAAGTCCGACGTGCAAATATCCCTGTCTCAACAACTACAGATGTGACCAGAAGCACCACTACCTTATTCATATTCCACATTTCAAAATATATATAAACCACCAAATTTCTACCATCTTTTCAACCAAAAACTTAGCCAAATTAAATCAAATTCATATTAAATCATTTCTGTTCTCTTTAATATCAAAATGTCACCTTCTCCTTCCCTTTCTCCTACTGCTCCGCAACAGCAACAAGAATTCATTTTCAGATCTAAACTCCCCGAAATCGAAATCCCAACACACCTTCCACTACACTCTTACCTTTTCCAAAACCTCTCTCAATTCCACAACCATCCATGCCTCATCAACGGCGACACCGGCGAGACGTTCACTTACTCCGACGTCCACCTCACCGCCCGCAAAATCGCTTCCGGTTTAAACACAATCGGAATCAATCAAGGCGACGTCATCATGATCGTCCTCCGCAACTCTCCACAATTCGCACTCACGTTCCTCGGTGCCTCATTCCGCGGCGCGGTCATCACCACCGCTAATCCATTCTACACCTCGTCAGAGCTAGCTAAACAAGCCACCGCAACAAAAACAAAACTCATCGTAACTCAATCAGCATACGTCAACAAATTCAAGGAGTTTGCAAAAATCAACAGCATCAAAATCGTATGCATTGATGATCCATCATCGTTATCGTTATCATTATCAACATCATTATCATTGGAATCGGAATCGAAACAAGGTGTTTTGGATTTCTCAATTTTAACAAATGCTGATGAAAACGAAGCACCGGAAGTGAAGATAAATCCTAACGATATCATTGCGTTACCGTTTTCTTCCGGAACTTCTGGACTTCCAAAAGGCGTTATGCTAACCCATGAAAATTTAGTGACAACAATATCACAGTTAGTTGACGGAGAAAATCCTCACCAATACACTAAAAGCGACGACGTGTTACTCTGTGTGTTACCCATGTTTCATATCTACGCACTCAATTCGATTCTACTATGCGGAATTCGAGCTGGTGCTGCGGTGTTGATTGTGGAGAAATTCGAGATTAAATCAGTTTTGGAAGTAATTGAGAAGTATAAAGTGACGGTAGTGTCGTTTGTGCCACCGATTGTTTTAGCGTTGGTGAAGAGTGGAGAGTCGCATCGGTACGACTTGTCGTCTATTAGGGTGATGATAACAGGTGCTGCACCGATGGGAATGGAACTTGAGCAAGCCGTCAAGGATAGGATGCCGCAAACCGTGCTTGGACAGGTTTGATGCCATGTCTATTCATTACTATTACTCATTTTAATGCTAACCACTAAAATGAACAACACGTTCGAGTATTAAACAAGTACTTATGTTCCACTGGAAAAGAGCTTCTACTAATGACAAAACGTTCGAGTATTATTTTAAAATACCACAATTATAGTTGGATGCGGTTGTAGAAGTAAGTGCATCAACATTATTCTGGATAAATATTGTTGGTGTGGAGTGAAATTTAAAATTATTGTACCCTTATCAAAAACCATACACACTTTTATTTAAATATATATATGTTTAGTGATATCTATCAACACACATTTATTTGGAGGCATAGATATTATTGAGTTTTCTTGCAAAACAATAATGAAAGTTGAATTTCATATTTATGTTTTATTTTATGAGTTATTTATATTTATAGGGATATGGGATGACAGAGGCAGGACCACTTTCAATTAGTTTAGCATTTGCAAAGGAACCGTTTAAGACAAAACCAGGTGCATGCGGTACTGTCGTAAGAAACGCCGAGATGAAAATAGTGGACACAGAAACAGGTGTTTCTCTTCCAAGAAACATAGCTGGTGAAATTTGCATTAGAGGCACAAAGGTTATGAAAGGTATTATTATTTTTTATTATTATTATTATTATTATTATTATTATTATTATTATTATTATTATTATTATTATTATTATTATTATTATTATTATTATTATTATATGTCTCTTTTGGGAAGCAGCTTTGCACATGATTGATTAAACCTTAGTGGCGTTGGTTGATAGAGAATGCTAGTACTCAGTGCTCCTTCATGTTAAATTGTATAATTAAAAAAATTTTAAAAATTAAATTTCAAAATTAATAAAATAAATGACAAAAATTGTATGAAGAATGAAAGGAGTCACATTTCCATCATAGTACAGTCTCTGAAAACTATTATAAATAATTTTTACTTTTTTTAGTATATTTGAATATCAAATACATTAATTAAATATATAAAAAAATAAAATTTACTTATAATAATGTCTAGAAGTAATAATGTCTAGAAGGTATATAATCCAACTTTAAAATTAGTTCATCAAACAAATATATTTTCACCAAAAGTAAAGTTGTGCCTTAGTTGACCAACCACCAAACATATGAAAGCAACCCTATTATATCCTTATCCTATCCTTTCTCACTTTTTTTTTTTTTATGAAATGTTTTCTGACTATTGTTAGCCTTTTAAAATATGAGAATTTCATGTAGTGGTTTCACCATAAGAGGATAAACTAAGTGCTCTATTTTTTTGTGCATTAGTTAACTTTCTCATTTTATATGATTTCTAGTGAGCACATAACATTAATCATGTATCTCATTTTAAAAATAATTAATTATAAATTTATCTTTTTAATTAAAGATTATTATTGAATGATAGTATAAAATTTCTTTCCTATACATAAACTAAAATTATATTATTTATTTTGACCTCAAGCGCTTAAACTTTTTTTATATTTGCGATTGTGATCACAGGATACTTAAATGATCCGGAGGCGACAAAGAAAACTATAGACAATGATGGATGGCTACACACTGGTGACATTGGTTTAATCGATGACGATGACGAACTTTTCATCGTCGATCGATTAAAAGAGTTGATTAAATACAAAGGATTTCAAGTAGCTCCTGCCGAGCTCGAAGCATTGCTCATTGCTCACCCTAACATTTCTGAAGCTGCTGTTGTACCGTAAGTAATTCGAGTAGAAAATTATGAAATCCATTAGCAATTATTTTGTTTTTTCTATTATTAATTAGTCGGGTTGTTTTCAGATTGAAAGATGAAGTTGCTGGAGAACTACCAGTTGCATTTGTTGTTCGATCAAACGATTCAAAGATTAGCGAGGATGAAATCAAGCAATACCTTTCGCAACAGGTTGTGTTTTACAAGAGAATCAACAGAGTTTACTTCACGGACGTGATTCCTAAAGCAGCCTCAGGCAAAATTCTGCGAAAGGAATTAACTGCAAGACTTAACGAAGGATTAGTGGTGTGACAACGACAGAAAAATAGTATTATCATGTAAATGTAGCTGCATGCATGGAGACAAATATATTCTCAAAACGTTACATGTATTATTATTAATGTTTGTGTTTTGTGCGATATATGTTTCTTGTGTTCAAATTCTTTTTCTTCAATGAAAATGTTTGTGTTTTGTGCGATATATGGCATAGAACATTAAACCAAGTGCAACAAACACTCACTGTTAAATGAAATCTTATGCACATGAGTTGCCACTCACAACATATTCCTTTATGAACAATCATACATTAAGTTAAAAATATTTACCAAGCAGAGATTCAGGATTGGTTTTCCAACATGGAATATTCCTTCTGTTGGGTTATTAGTCTAAGACACAAGAATCAAATCCCCAACTTTAACATAATGTTTGGTTGTGTTGATAGAATGGACTAATATAATAAGATTTCATTATTTGTATTATGTAGAAAGTAGTGCAATGGAATCTAATTGTTATTGGAGTATAAATATGCTTTTGTCTATTGGTTTTAGGCCCATTTAGTTAATAAGAGTAGGACACGTTTACTATTAAATATAATTTTTATTTATTAAAAAAACATTAAATGTAATTAGTGTAGACGTTTACTATTAAATATAATTTTTATTTATTAAAAAAACATTAAATGTAATTAGTGTAGTGAGGAGTAGGATTGTTTTCGGTCTGGTTTGGGTATTTGTTTTTTCGAGAACTGGACTGAAATAGTAATCGGGTAAATTAAGACCGGACCGAAATAGTGATGGACTTTTTTTTTTATCGAATCGGATCGATACTTTCTAATATTTATCTGATACTTTTGAATCGGATCGAAATTTGTGTTGGCCTAGAATTTGGATGGAAGAATATATCCTAATCATTGTTGGATACTTATTTGATATTTGGTCCGGTTCTATTGTTGGATATCAGACAAAAATTACCCATTCCCAAACCGAGTAGCATTTTGGTCGGTCCATTGATTTGGTTTTATTGGCCCGAATCTCGGATAATGAGGTTCAAATACAACCCTAGTGAGGAGTGTATATAAAGTGTGTAAAGGTCTCTCTTGATTTATACTAAACTCTCTATTTTTTTTCTCAATAAAAATAAACGATATTCATCAACTTAAATCGATAGAGCACATCGTTTCAATACAAATTTAAAATCGCCAAAAATAAAAAGGATGATTTTGCAAACAAACTCACAGCATCCATGTTAATAGTATAAAATAGCAAATTGCATAAGCATACAAATATGATTGTATTGAGATGTCGAAATATTCATGCCTCCTGATCTATAGCGTTCATAGCCCCAAAATCAGTGATTGAATCTGCACTAGATCGAAACTAATCTTTCAACCTGAAACAAATGAACACCGTACAAAGACAGGAAAATAAAATACACCACACAAAGATGAGAAATCAAAATACAACGCAAAAAGACAGGAAATGAAAACAAACAACGACACATTAAAATGACGAAATCACAACAAAAAAAACATTTAATATATATGAAAATTACTTATATAACTCATAGAAAAACAAAAACAATTTGGAGGTGTGATTTTGGATCAAAATCAATCCCAAATCACCTCTTTTAAAAAGGTAAAAAAGAAGTAGAAAAGTGACGACAAGTAAAGTTAGAAGAAGAGATTGTACTAAACTCTCTCTTAAAACTTATAAATGAAAGATTTCTTTTAAAAAATAAAACATATAAATAAGAATTTAAGTATCCTCCAAACAATAAAAATCGTCTTTATCTCAAATATTTTCTCATTCATAATTTTTTTGATGAAATCTCACAATAATCTTCCCATTTCCCAAAAAAATGGTATCACATTTTAAAAAAAATCCTTCGTAGATATGATGAACAATGAAACATTATACTTTTAAGTTTTTTTTAAAGAGAGTATTTATTATAATTGGTTATTAAAATAAAGACTTTTCTTAGAACACATGATGTTTAGGATGTTCTTGGAGTATTAAATTTTTGATTTGAAAGTGATCTTTTTGTGGTAAGATTACGCACTTCAATTATAATTTTTATGATTTTAGTAAGGATTCTTTATTCTTCTTATCATAGTTTATAATTGATATGTAATTTTTCATATTTTTTACAGTGTTTTAACTCGCATCTTTGTGTAAAAGGTTGGAGAATCCTTAATTCTCCGTTTAATATATTTCTTTAAAAAAAAAAAGAAGATAATTTTTAAAGGATTTAAGAAAATAGAGAAAAACAACTCTTTTTCTCATTTACCAAACATTTGATGAAGAAGAGTTGAAAAAAACAATGAAGATGAATTTGAAAAATCACAAGATGATCATTTTAGGTGTTAGGATATCTCTGTAATTTTATTATAATTAATTAGCCTTTATTTATTGTAATTTTTTATTTTTCTTCAATCTTATAACATAAATATTAGCATTTGTTTGTACTTGATATACTTAAAAAATATACAAATGTTTTTTTTTTCTTCATTTTTTTAAGTTTTTCCATAGTATCAAAAGTTTAAGTATTCCTCTAGCTCTTCCCTTCTATTTTTTTTTTTTATAAATACTTTGTTTTATTACGGTTACTCATTAAACACTACTATGAAAAATACTTTTTGTTATATAATATAATAATGATTTTTCATTAATTATAGTGGAATCACATTTTTGGACAGTTTAATTTATTGATTTTTACTAAAAGATATTTCATTATGGTCATTGTTAAACTATGTAGTAAAATATAGGAGTTATAGGGTTCGAATCACAGCTTCTTCAATTTTCAATTTTATCATCACAGAAAGGGAATGACCTTGTATAATACCATGGTTATTTTATTCGATTGTGGTGTAAAGCCCATTCATTACATCACGGTTCTTCTAGTCAACCGTGATGAAAAGTGATATTTTGTAATATATATATAAGTGAACTTATTTGTCGCTCAATACATAACAGTCGTTTCTCTCAAAAGAAAATCCTAACACATTTCACTCTTTTATCTCAAAACATAACCCTAACATACATGTCACTCTTCACACATACTACAACCTTTAAATTCTTCTTTACCAATCGTTACCTTGAGGTTCCTTCATTAAACTTATGATCCGATTTCGTTTACGTTTCTTGTTAAAAATGGGTTCATTTTTTTTCATTTGGTGAATATTTCATGTAATGTTGTTAATGTCATTGTGTTTATTTTTTACTTATAGGAAAAGTGATTGAACAAAACCACCTTAGCAAAACGCATACTTTGGCTATGGTATATATGGTCTGTGTTGCTATAAAAAAATAAAAGAAGTATGAAGCTATTATGTAAACTCCATCCACCTTGTATTCTTTTTATAGCATCATAAACTAGATAAACTTCATGATTGATTCCAGTGACACGATTAGCTTCAATAAAAAGTGTGTTCTTGAAATATTTTATTATATCTTGTGTTGTTTAATGTTGTTGCTGAAGGTGTGAAAAACCCAAGAAGGGGGGGAGGGGGAGGGGGTTGAATTGAGTTTTAAATCAAAACTTTTCTTTAAAAATATATTCCCCTTTAATTAAAATACTTTTTCTACACTTTTAATAATAACAATAATTAAGAACAAGAAGTAAATAACAAGGTATTTTTATACTAGTTTACTTGAAAATTATCAAGCTAGTCTAGTCCGTCCGCCAAAGTGATTTTTCTCTTTCTGATTATTATTTTTTTACAATTTTATTTTGTGTTTTGATATTTTTTATAATTTTTCACTTTATTTGAATTGTTTTAAATGTTTAAAAATACTTTTCTTAATTTTTAAATTCTGAAAAAAATAGCGAAGGATTCAATGACCTTTTGAAAAATATTGGTGACCTCATTTTATTTTATTTTCGATTTTACTATTTTTTTTTATCATTTTTGGTTTATTTTGGCTATTTCTTTTAATTTTAAAAATAGTTTCTCATTTCAAAAAATTATCAAAAATTTTATATAAATATTTGAGCTCATTTCTGATTTTTCTATGGTCTTATTTGATTTTTCTTGGATGTTTTTAATATAGTTACTATTTTCTCCTCTTATTCTCATTTTAAAAATATTTTTCTTTATTATTAAATACAATTTTACTTTTGTATATATTCTGATTGATCTTGGACTATGAGACTTTGATAATGAGCTTTATCAACATCACTGGATCCATGGTGTTAAGTTTAACTCCACAAAAAATGGATGAATGATTTTAATAATAGTTTGATTAAACTTTTGGTTCAAATGTGGTTTGAATCTTACCCCATCCCTCTTCATCTTATTCATTTCTTATTGTACTAAATGTTATTAGAGAATAATTTACATATCATTTCTCAAAACATATGGTACATAGATTGCTATTGACCGACCTCAAAATAGGTTTGATTTATATATAAGTCCACTTACTATTGCTTAATATAGCACTAAATTTTGCCCCGATTCGAAAAAATGATCATCCGTGGCCCAAACCCATGTTTGTATGCCCAAGTATGTTAATTTGAATCCTTTGATCCAATAACCTTGAGATCCATTGTTAGGAGGCTTTAGTCTTATCAATCCTCTAATGAATCTTCATAAACTTTGGTCAAAGTGAATCACTTAAACATCATTGATCATTTATTGTTGCCTTGAGAATTTTAAATGGATGATATACTTGACAAAAAGCAAATGAAACTTGTTGTTGAGAGACTTTGATTTTACCAATCTTCTAATGAGTGTCAAATGCAAGTTTCAATAGGGTCATTCAACTAACCTCTAATTTCTAACAATTGACTTTATTTTGTGCTTTTACTTTATGCTTTTACTTTAAGCACATTTACTTTAGCATTTACATTTCATGCTATTTTCATCTTTGCTCATTTGAGCATTTATCTTTTATGTCATTTTTTTTACTTTTCTCACTTGAGATTTTCATTTATATTTTTTTTAAGACACCTAATAATCAACTTGAATCATAAAAAAAAATTTAATGTTACTTGGACGACTTGGTTACTATCCTTGGCATTTATGGAGATTATGGACTTCTTGGACTTAGGATTAGAGACCATGACCTACCTTGAGACCTTGTGACCTCAACTGTTATTTTGTCTAGAGTTCTTGGGGGTTTACCCCAACTGGGTTGTTTGTTTTGTGTGCAGGTTATTATGATTACATGCTTTGTCTGTAATCGAGAATTCATCTGTATACAGCCGTTACTCTACCCAATTTTTGTGAAGACTTAATGCAATCGAAGCTTGGTTTTCTTAAGAGGTTTATTATCTTTTCTTGTTTTGTTTCAAATCCAAAGGATT